ATTCACTATGGTAAACATTTCGCATTTTTTTCGCGCCAGGCGCGCAGTAGTGTGCGCCAGCCAAACTGGTGTTTCAATAAACCAAGTAATGAGGTTTTTATTCATTCCATATCTCGTTATTCTGTCTTGAGTGAGCCTGGCAGTGAGAGGTCACCAGTCAGCGTAAGCAATTAATCTGGGGGTATCCCACTGGCAAGTATGCCGAGGTGCGAAAAAGTAATTATAAGGTCATCCCAAACTATATGTGCACACCCGCAATGTGGATCTCCCAGTCGACACCCTCATTTGTCGCCGTCTAACCTATGTAACTGGTACGATTTCACAGTAAGGAAAGCAATAATCAATGTAACCTTCAAAAATGTAATTTATTGGTAGAAAGAATGATCAATACCTCTTCAAATTGGAACATGTAACGCTCTATTTGCTCGTTTGAAATGCTTCCATCTTTTATTTGACTGATCTGAACAATTCGCATCTGAGGTGTCTGTATCACATATACTAGTCATAACAGAATTTAGAAGATCTAACAATTATTAGGGTTTATGGACGTACCACATGCTGTAGATCCATTGCAATAGCTTGGAGTTCTGATGCATCCGAACGTAACCGATTGATGAAACGAGATACTGTAAACTGCGGCTTGTCTTGGAGCCCAGGCAATTCGTAAGTATAGCTCTGAAAGAGTTGTTCTAAGAGAATGATTCATTATGAAAAACATAAAATAGAAATCTTTAGCAGCCACGTCGATGTTGGCAGAAGTGCCGAATTCAGTTGAACGGACTGGCGTGGAGGACAGTACAGCCTCGGCGTTACTCACTTGAGGGAAGGAACTTATACCGTCTTGACCTGAAAGCATGACCATATGAACGTGGGTACATTGTAAGAGGACAGTAGAACTCAAGAACCAACCCTCTTTGGGAGTGATTTCTATCCACCCTGTCACAATTCCTTTCGCTGTCGGCCTCGGGAACGGAAAAGGCCAGCGATTAGAGGTATCTCCACTTTCGAACTTCTGTAAGTGCTCGAGTTAAGTGAAGAGGGGGCATTGAGAAAAGACATTCATCCGCAGAGTGCTCTCTCAGAGAATATTTCGCACGGAACGCCGGGGTGCGTTAATAATGTGGGTGCTGACCTCAACGTTGGATCTTCGAAATCTGCTGAGCCAACCTGCGCAGGTTCTAAGGGCACTTCAAGATACGCTGTACGCTCAACTTTGAAGATTCTGATCCTTGCCATGTACGAGGCAAAAAAGTCCGCAGCTATACGCCAGTTTTGCAACTTGAAAATGCGCCTGAATGGGATGGGAGGGTGAGGGTTACAAGCCGGAGCGGCGTGTCGCGGACTCCTACCCATGCGGCAACAGCTAACGGTGAGCGGAATTTTCCGCGGGGTCGTTACGCAGGCCTTTACGCCGGGACGTATAGCAGGACAGGGGTCACTTATGAGATCCTTTCTTTGTGTTCTCTCCTACACCCGCGTGCGTAATAGGCGCGGGCTGCTCTTTTTGCTGGACGCAGTGATGTCGCACGTTGCCCAATGTGCACCTAGCAGTGCCGAAACAGTATTGCCGTCCAATACACCTCCTCATTTCCGCCTTCACTTGTTCTGGTGGAATAAGGAATTTGCACTCCCTTCTACCAGCTCACGAGCTCGTCCACCGTCGCACGTCTGTAACGGTTCTCATCTGTGCAGGGATGCAGCGAGATCCACCTATTACGCCAAGATTGAGTATCAGGATAACAGAACAGGACCACAAATAAATATGATCGTTACAGACAGTGTACCGCCCATAAGCAGAGACTGCTGGTGTGCTATCAGGTACCGGAACGATGGGAACCTTTATGGCAAGGGCTCAAAGTGAAGGCATCGATTGCTTGATTGGACGCGCGATCGCCGGTGTCTTTGGAAGCGGCGCTGAGTGGGTTGCGGCCAAACCGCCCTCTCCGACAGCTCTCCGCGAGTGATGTGGCCAGGCAACCGGCCTAGCTTTCGTAAATTATTGCGTCCGCATTCTTTGACTCTGAAAACTGGGCGGTTTTTCAGGCTTAAACAAAACATATAAGACGTGTTGAATTCCGGTGAGATAACGGATTACCTTACCTTCGTTAATGGAGGTGTATGAAGAGCTAGCTTCTGTCCATAGAGGAACATCCGCGGAAAATAAACCTCGGGCTTTACAGGCACATTGTCACCCTATCCGACATGAATTTTGATAGGGAGCACCAACAGTGTTTTTTAACGCTTTCATAGATGTTCTCTTACGCGAATATTTACAGTACTACACTCACGCTCGCGTCCTCCTCGTCACTCTCCAGACGTGGATTTCTAGCTAAGGCCTCCTCGATAGATTCGTCTTCTCCTTCATTCACAAGCCAACGACGAATTGGTCGCGCGTCTGCGTCAAAATTTCTCATCAAAATGGAATGCAGCTGAAGAAGCATGTGCAAAAAACTCACTGGCTATTTCTGGATCACCCCACAGGGTCAGGCCATTATCGGGGAAGATCCTTCTCGTGAGTGCGTTCGGATCCCGCCATACTAGGTCGTCGTATTTGAAGCATGCGCTTTTGACTGCTGATATTGCGTTTGAATAAGGCTGCAAAAATCCAAATTAGAACCCTTCTCAGGAAGGATGAAGCCTTTGTGTCTATCAGATGGTGCCTTTATCCTCCCTGATGAACCTGGTAGCAATTTACCAGCTCCGGAGGGCATGTAGAAGGCTTGGTTGGGCTAGGCGGCAGTCGGTCTGGGGACGCATCTGAGAAAATACTACACTGGTGTGCAAAACTTAGGGACGAAAGCAACTTTCGATCACTGTGCCTCTGCCAGACAACATAGCTCGATGAAATTCATATCATATCAAGAGAGAACCTTAACGATATTGTACAGAAAGCAACTGACAGAAACTCGGAATAAGACGA